TTAAAAAATTTTCCTAATAAAGTTAATAAAACAAATCTAAAATTAAATATTTTACTTAGAAAATATATAGCTAAAATAAATATAAAGTTTTTATTAAAAAAATTAAACTTTTTAATAAAAACACAGGCAAATTTGCCTGTATTACAATTTAAGGGATATATATAATATCAAATTATGAGCACTTATCATTATAGAGAAAGTCACTTATTGATTGCATATATAGAATATCGACATTTAATTCAGGATGCTCATGAGCACTAATTTGAGACCATATAAGTATACATGGGTGTCTAAATTGCCCATCTTAATAAAAAGTAATTACAGTATTTAGGTAATTTTCATATTTTCTGAAATTATTACTGAAATTTTTTGAACTCCTTTCATCAAAATACATAATGTAATATAGTTATTTCGAAGAGTGTCATAAAAAATTTAGCAATGCCAAAATGTTTGCCAAAAATACGATTTTTCAAAAATAATTTAGGCACCCATGTATACATATAAGTTATTTTTAAGCAACTGATTTTCAAAATAACACCTACAAGCGCTATTTCGTGCTTAGGCCAGACCAATTTAATTCAGTGGTTTACATTATCCCTCTTCCGCTTTTTCTCTTACTATATATGCAGAAAATTACAGAAAATTTTTATAATATCATAGATCATTTCGGAAAAAATTATAATAAACTCCCTACACCCTTTTGTGAGAAGGATGTAATGTAAACCACTGAATTAAATTGGTTTGGCCTTATATTTAATTAACTGCTTAATTTGAAACTATAACCTCATTTCAAAAACAAGTGTAATGATAAGTGTATTCATTTATAAAGAATAAGTCTATATACAATATTAAATAATTATATTAGGCCGATCAAATTATGAGCATCTATTATTATTCCTTAAACAGTTTCTGGCCCAAATTTGATTCCAAATTTTTGAAATGTGATTTGTAATCCATATAGTATATGCACTACAATAAAAATCAAGATTTTATCTATATAACCTGAAAATTCCGACTTTTATTTATTTAGAAACTCTTATTTTTAATATTACAGATAATACTGAAGATATATTTTTGAGCTTATATGAAATATTGAGAATGAATTTGAAAATAAAGTTAGAAACATTACCAATGACAATAATGATAGTGTTATAAAATTGGCAGTGAAACTGGTGCACAAAGATTTCAGTTTAAATTTGGTATAGAATTTGGTAGAAGAATCACTCAAAATAATTTAATACAGACAAAAAGGCAATGATCAATAAAGACAATTTTAGGTTATAAAAAAATTTGAGATACCTGCTGAACGATTATACCTATAAAGTTACTACCCAGTGTATTATGACAGAAAGATATTTTGGCTTAAAAATATAGCTAAGTAAGAGAAACACTCTAAAAAATTATCACAAAGTCAGGTGTGATGCACAATATGTAATGCGCCTTTATGTTTAATAAGCAATGTTCAGATTGTTTTGTTGATCATGAATGTAAATAATAAAATAGATACTGTTTTTATATTGTGATATAAAGTTTTATATTATGTTTGATAGTATTTTATCACAGTTGTAATATAAGCGAGCATCAGAAAATTTGGGCCTAATTATAAATTATGTACTACATTAGAATGTGTGTTAATTCGAGATATTTATGAGCACTAATTTGAAACCATATAAGTTATTTGCGATTATATGGTAAGTATATTTAATTAACTGCTTAATTTGGAACTTGTTCTAATTACGTACTAATAGTAACCTCATTTCAGAAACAAGCATAACATTAAAAAATAATCATGCTACAGTCCACAAGAAGCAAGATTCGCACCTGAATCTTTTTAATCCATGACAATTCTATTAATATATGAGTGCTGCCAAGGGAAAGTCTGATCAGACTTTTAATATATTTTGTATACAGTTAGCCGTCTATGAAAAGTTTACTATTATAATAAATTTTTTATAGACACTTAACTATATACAAAATATATTGAAAGTCTGATCAGCCTTTTTCTCTTGGCAGCACTCATATGCTGTACATTTATTTATGTTAAAATCATTCAATGAAGTTCGATATCTGGCACTATTAGTTCGATATATTTGGAATAGTATTTTATTTGCTTTTCAGAAAAAAAAAAATCACAAAAAATCAGAAGTTTGGCGTTTGTATATTTCGGTAATAATAGTGGAATATTATTCGATCAAATCTCTCTTTGAATTAAGATCCGCAGGATCTGCAAATTATGGGATTTGCGGATCGAACCCGGATCAAATCCGAATCTCAAATCCATATTGCAGAACATTATTGTACGGTAATGAGAAGATCTTTTAAGCAAAAAAATATAAATATCAATATTCTTCATAGATGTTTGTTTAATTGAAAAATAAAATACAGATACATTTAAACATTATTCCAACTCTTATAATTCATCATGAATCAGAAATACTTAATTGGTTTGCATATATTTTTTTTCCTTATATTTGCTACAAAAACTTATAGCTACCAAGTTAGCTATATAACGCATAAATATAACACAACAATGTGTATGTTAATTTTCAATTTATTATTATTCGTTATTTTTTGGGTAAAAAAAATAATATTTTTTTTAATTAAAGATTCATATACAAATCTTTGTGGCACTAAGATTCTAGATGCTAATTTGTTATCAAGTTCAACACTCACTATCACGGTTGTTGGTAGTTGTACTTATGATAATAATATTACAAATGCAGTACCATATGCATTAGACCACTTTACTATGCATGATGATACTAGTAACAGTTAGAGATTTTTCAAAGATCCAAGATTCATTAATGGCCATATTTGTACTTCTAATTCTTCTTCAGAACAAAAGGTTTTCACATATTCATCGCAATTTGGTTTCAAGACACACCCAGTTGGAACTTGGTTTGATGTTTGGATTGCAGTGTATTGGGCTTGTAATAAAGATGATTTTGCTACTGTATTTTGTTGGTCTGAGAATATACACTATAGAGATTATGTTCACTAGTTATGATATAAAGGTAAAATGTTTAATATTAACCTACAGGTAACTCTTTCTAATGATCACTTGTACCAAAAATCCAAACACATTTTTTTTTGTAAAAAAACAAAAGGGGATTAGAAAAAACGGGAGGGCGTTCCATAAGGCGGCCGGTGGTATTTTGAGGGAGTTCTCCTAAGCCACCTGCTTAC